AGGAAAACCTGAACACAATTGATCAAAACCAGGCTGGAAAGCCAAAGTCAGTGTGACTAATTTACATTCCCTGCCCGTACTGAGCGAAAATTAAAAGACAAGCTAGTCTTTCAGTTTACAAAGCCTGGTGTGGCGTTAGGAGCATGGGGAGAAGTCAATTAAAATATGACCATGTCCCACTGGCTCTCTTCATGCCCAGTTCTGAGCAATAATTTGAAGGGTTCAATTTATTCCAATATTGAGAGTTTGACAAAGCAGGCTGAATGCGAGAGTGAGCAGCAATGGCTGTAAGGTAGGACAGGGAGGCTGTTGCTAAGCAATTAAAGAATTGCAGCAGCTATGTCCTTAACTTGCTAATTTTGGATTAAAAGATACAGGAGGGCTCATTCACGTGGCCCAAGCGTGATTACTGCCCTTGAATGGAAAATCAGCAAGACCCTGGGAGAGAAACTCTCCAGCCTGCCTTGTCCCAGCAACTGGTTTCCCGTACTGGGAAGAAGAAACAGTGATGGGAATGACAGGTCTGGAGCAAAACCACAGCAGAGCCTTGGAAGGGGAAGCCCGTCCCAGATGCCAACCTACAAGGTTTGCATCGGTTTTCTTTCCTGCAAAATGGCTTCCCAGCAGACAACACAAACTGGGTTGGGGCTGCTGCTGGGCACCCCGTCATTAGCGTCCTCGCTGGAAGCTCACATCGAGGCACTTCTCTATGGGTTTAACAGTGGGGCTCTGCCCGCTTGAGTCCTTACCCATAAGGGCAAACACCAATGATCCGAGATGCTGGCCAGCACGTCTTCTGCTCCCGACCACCTGCTCTTCCCTTCCTTTCTGCAGATCTCCCTGGTGAGCCAAGAGCCGGTGCTGTTCGCCCGCTCTATTGCAGATAATATTTCTTACGGCTTAACTTCAGCCTCCTTCGAGTCGGTTGTTCAGGCTGCCCAGAAGGCCAACGCGCACGCCTTCATCACGGAGTTACAAGACGGCTACCACACAGGTACCAAAATCCCTCCGTTTGCTCTTGAAAGCGTTTTGTGCCTAGGGAAGGCAGAACCTCTCCACTCGGGTGGAAAGTCAGGCAGGTGGTGATGGGCACGAGTCCATGGCAGCTCAGAGAGGTGGTTACACAGAGAGGTGCAGCACTCTGGCTGCCTTTTGGGGTGACTGAGCCCCTGTCGCAGGATTTCTGAGCCCATGCCGGGAGAGCATTCTGCCACCGCTCCGTGGCAGCGGGGTGAGAGTCTCCCATCCGGACCGGTCCGGCTCCCGATGCTGGCAGTCTTATGGAGATGTGCCACTGGCAGTCTCACCATTTTTCAGTGCAGTGATCAGGAGAAAAGCCCAGAACCCAAACATTGAGCCATGGACCACCCCACCTGCACAGGAAGAAAATAAACGTACGATAAATCCATGGTAATAAAAGCTGATGTGTTTGTGGCAGTGGGACTCTGCGAGGAGGCAGGTCAGATGATGGTGGCTCATGTTTATGGGAGCCAGCAGAGAGGTCCTGGTTTTCCCTGCCTTGCACACCCTCCAGAGCCTGACTTAAGGGAGAGATGGCAGCGATGGATGGAGCTGCACGGGCCAGAGCAGGAGGGGGGCTCGGGGTTTGGGTGATCTCCCAGGCTCAGGGACTTCTCTGGGTTGTTTCCACGAGCATCAGTCCTTCAAACCCTGGGACAACAGTAGAGAACTTGCTGCTGGAAGGGATGTTTAACTCATTTAAACTGCTCTGCCAAGTGAGCAGAAGCTTTTACCTTGTCTTTGCTTCAAAGCATGACACCATCCTGACGCTGCTGGCTGGGAGCTGAACCTGATGGCAGCTCTGGATTTTTATTTTGACCCTTTCCTCTCTCCCTTGACCCAACAGAGGCAGGTGAAAAAGGAGCCCAACTGTCAGGTGGCCAGAAGCAGAGAGTGGCAATTGCCAGGGCCTTGATCCGAACCCCCCCCATCCTAATCCTGGATGAAGCCACGAGCGCGCTGGATGCAGAGAGTGAACATGCGGTGAGTAGGTGACTCGGGTGTTTGGGCCAAAGAGGCAATCTGGGTTTGGAGGAAAGACGGTAGCTCCAATTTCCAGCCTGTGGACAAGCTTAGTCTTGATATGGTGCAATGAGAGGTTTGGGTAGGATGCTAATTCTGAAGCAGGAATTTGCTTCCAACACTGCTGTAGCCACCAAGAAGGGAATAATCCTGTGCTCACAGCAGCCAGCGCCTGGCAAACCTGATGAGACGGGGATCTCTGCCAATTTATGAAATGTGGAAAGTGTTAACTGGTATACAGCAGCACTGTGCAGCCTTTTTAGGGCAGGATTCGGAGGAAGACCCTACAAAACGGTACTGCAGCAGGCAGAGTAGGACTGCCTGAGCTAAAATCCCAGCTGAGGCACCAGAGAAACCACGCTGGCAGGAGAGGCCCTGAGCTTTCTGTGAATTGAGCTGGGTTTATCTGGCTGGGACGCGATGACCAAACAGCTCTACCAGTAGCAGTTTGGCCTCACTGGTTTAATGACATGAGGGAAAGCTAGTTTGAGGTTGAGGTGTAAGGACATGTCTCCCGGCCCCGGAGGATGAGTGCTGCTGGCCCACGGTGTGGAGCAGCGTCAGCTTCTGACCTCGGAACTGCTCGTGCAGGTCCTCAGCCACGTGTGTGGTATCTGATGCCAGCCAGGGGTTGGTTTCGGCTAGCCAGGGGTGTCGATGTGACACGTGGCCTGGTGGCCATCTGCCTGCCTTCAGACCTTAGTGTTACTGTCTGTCTCTTGGCTGGAGAACAACTCTGTCTTGCTTTGCCTTGATACACCCAGGAAATAGCCCTGCTGTTGTGAGCAGCTGCATTTACCAGGTATTGGCTTCCTGCAGTCCATGCCAACACCATGTGGCCTCCAAATTTGGAGCCCAGCTCTAACAAGAACCCAGCTTTGCAGGATCAGACCTGGCAGTGCATGTCTGCGTACCGCCCCTGCGGGCTGGCTGGACTCAGACGGTCTTCTGGGCTGCACAGCGAGAGCCGGGGGCTGGGATGGACGTGCTGGTGCTGGTAGAGCTGCAGGGAATCTTGTGTCCTCTGCGTAGCCAGAGGAGAGCAAACCTTCCATCCAGAGGTTTCTTAACGCAGACCACAAAGCTGCTGTTCTTCCTGCCAAAGCGGAGCCGGTGACGCTCGGGCACTAACGTCTTTTCCTCCTGCGCAGATTCAGCAGGCGATTTACGGCGACTTGCAGAACCACACGGTGCTTGTCATAGCTCACAGGCTGAGCACTGTCGAGAAGGCACACAACATCATTGTGCTGGACAAGGGCCGCGTGGTGCAGCAGGGCTCGCACAAGGAGCTGATGGAAGAAGGAGGCCTTTATTCCAAGCTGGTGCAGAGACAGATCCTGGGGCTGGAGGGGGCCGGCGCGGACAGTCTCCAACCCGCAGCCCGGGGGGATTCGGCGAAGGCACCCAGCGGGCTGGAGGAAGAGTTCAGGATAGACCATTCCCTGCCGGCCGTGGCGCAGGACGATTACAACACCATGGCTCACAAGTGAGAGCGGCGAGGGCCGGCGCTCGAGACGGCTTGCTGGGACGTCGAGACGGGAGGCGGCTTGCCGACAGGCTCGCGTGCTGCAGAACGACACCCGTTTGCTCACCCCGCGCGCGTCACACACCCGTGCACACACAAACACACACTATAGAGCTTCCTGCATTACGGGCAGGCGGGCAGATGCCGGCTGGTTAAACAGGGAAACGGATTTATTCGAGGGAGCTGGGTCTTTAGCAATTCCCAGCATTTCTACTGGGTTTCTTTTCTTACTACCAGTAATTCCTCTCGACTGGGACTTTTCTCCCATTGATATGCATGTGTAACTGCTACTAACTGTAATGGATGTTAAATGCATGCATGGAGGGGAAGATCGAAAACCCCTTCGGGAATTTCAGGGGGTAGCTTTTGTGGCTGGGGAGAAAAGCGGGGACTGTAAAACAAAGTCCTGCTCCCGCTATCAATCTATGGGGCCAATCCAAAGTCTGCTGAAGTCCGTAGGGAGCTCCCTTGGGCTTCGGTGAAAACTGGATCGCTCCCACGGGGCTGAATGCTGGGAGAGTTCTGCACTGAGTGCCTGCAGGCTCAGGCTCACAACCATTGCTGCGGAGCTTGCATCCTGTAGTATCCATCCTTGCTGGAACGAGCCAGGGGACCGGGAGGCAGATGTTGCTTTCAGATTTGCTCTTGGTGCTTGGTGGGTGTTTGTTTTTAAGGATGAAAAGTTTTACCATAATTGGGTTAGATTTTGGGTTTGGGGGTTTTTTGTTTGTTTGTTTTTTTAATGTATCTGTGTGCACTGTGCAATGTCTGTCTGGCTCCAGCATCCACTGAAAATTGGTCTGTTATTTCAGAATTTTTTTAACTCACAACCCCGGTGCTGGTTTGAAAAAAACAAAACCAACAAACAAACACTACTAAAGACAGACATAAAATACTAAAAGACAGCACTTTATAAATCCCACCAAAGCTTTGTTCAGCTTCAGGCCATGCTAGCGACTTCACTGCATGGGAAATCCATAGTCACTTCCCTTGAAGTCTGACTTCAGCTGCCTGAACTTTAAAACGTTTTTCTTTGAATATTATTTATTAACTTACTTTTAGGATGAGGGATAGAAAGAAATACGTTGCTCCTAGCCCTTTTGGGTAATGGCTCTGGCTTAGTAGTGTTATTCTGCCATAGATTGGTGAAGAAACCTATACAGCCAGGCAGGTGCTATTGAAAAATAGCATTTATATGGGGAAAACTGACTTCAGACTGTGCGTAGTTAAGAAATTATCTCAAGCACTTTAGCTCTCATGTTTTCCGATATTTGAATGCTGCTGTGTTTTACTTTTTGGCAGTTTTGCATTTTTGTTGTTGGCGATGATTTGTTTTCATTTAGTGATGTTTTACAAACTCTTTAGTGTCCTTGAGGAGGGATGCTCAAAAAATAAAATACTACCTCTGCCACTCGACATCGAGCCAATCTAGTGGGGGTGTTTTTTGCATTCATGGTTTTCAAGGTAATGTTCATCTGAGATGATGGCTGAATGCAGCTGCACACTGCACATATTCTGTCTCCCTTGTAGGGAATGACAAGAAGAACCTACAGAGAATTAGGTATGTAAAAGACTTCAGCATCTAATAATGCTGTGAGCCATAGCAGTAGGTATAACCTGTTTAAGAACTTGTTTTCATCCCGGATCCCATCCGGTAGTCAGTCTCGCACAAAAAGACAGGCAGTCTAACCCGTTCTCAAAGCACGGTGCTTCGTGACTGGAATCTTTTCAGCTGCTTGCTTTTGTGATATGATAAAAATCCGTGCCTCAGAAGAACGGAGAGCTCTCTTTGTTTTATCAGCCTCCACTTAGGAAACCTCTGTCGTGCTCTGAACTCCTCAGTTCACCACTTCGGTAAATGGCCAGCACATTCCTGCCTGATGAAAAATTGCGCTGTGGGTATGAAGGGGTTGGAGGTTCCACCCAGCGCCGGAGGGCAAGTGATTAATTCTGCATTTTTATCAGTACCTGTGAGCAGAATGGGGCCAGTGGTTCATAGAAGTGGAATTAATTTCTGCTTAATTGAAAAACTGGGGGGGGAAAAATTGGGTTATCTGGGAACTAGGGAAGCCGACTCACCCTGGGAAGTGCTGGCAGGACAATGCTGGTTAGTACAAGAGATGCCAGAAAAGAGAATTTGATCGTATCGTGTGCGTATTCCTCCCAGGCAGTGCTGCAAAAAGGGGAATTGGAGGGTACAATGGGATTAGTTTTATTGCAAAGACTACAGTGAATTTCAGGAAGGGAGCCCTGCTTCCCAAGCCTGTTGTGATGATAATCCCAGCATTGTACCCCCAGGTCAGGTCCAAACAGCTTCAACTGAAATGGCGCATTGGAAAGGGCAGATTGTCTCTGCTGGTGGCACCCGTCCAAGCTGATAACAGGGCCCGACTTTGTTCATTGCCACAGGTGCTGAATTCTCTCTTTTGCATCCAGATAACTCAAGGCTACTTTTCCACTGAGCCTTACATCTCTGGCTTGAACAAGTCCTTTCATTGTGCTGCTGGTGTGTGACAAGTGGATCTGCCAGCACGCTGAAGCCGGGAGGGTTTTCTCATGGCCTGGAAGCCTGGTGGGAGCTCCACACACCACCAGGGATCCAGCAGCATTCATGTAATGCAGACATTTCTGCTGGCCCAGTACAAACCCTGCGACTGACCAGAAAATCCCACTTTTCAAACCCATTCCAACTTTTTGAAGTGAAACCCGGGCTCAGTGATGCCTGTTAGCCAACCTAAGCCCAGTGGTGAAGATGAGCTTAACCCAGTGCAGCAGTGGGAACTGCTCCAGTGCCGGAATACGAGCCAACTCCGGGAGCTGCCTCATCCCTTGGGCCTCGCTGCCTGTGGGCAGTGTCTGGTTTTCAGGCTATTCTCCTGGAAACAAGGCCGCTGTTCCCTCTGAAATCCTGGATGGTAGTATTTTGTGGCTGTGGGTTTGCCCAGAGTTGACATTTACATGGGAACGCGAACAAGATCTGTTCAGGAGCTTCTCAATTACAGCCATGCAGATAAAAAGTTTCTTCTTTTCAAAAGGAAGAATCTTTTCCCCAGGGAACTCAGATGGGTTTATCTGAAACCTTAACTCAGGGAGCATGGCTTGGAGACTGCTGTGGCAGAGTTGGAAGCAATTAGGTGTTTGAAAGCGGAATTGATTACAAAGGGTGACTGTACATTCCATAGCAGGTTGTTTTCCTCACTATTTATAAGCTCTAACCATTCCCTGCAATAGGTATAACCACATCTTTATTTGATTTAAACACTGGAGAACCCTGTCCAAGGTGAAGTTCAAGAGTGGATCCTGTAGTCCTAGCGATTCCCCAAGGACATGTATTTACCCCCGTACCTTTGCGCAGACAAGGTATGTGGCTGACTGACCCAGGAAAGGAGAAGAGTGTAATGGAAAAAACACAGCTGTGTTTATTCCAACAACTTGTCTCCTGTGTGCCAACCTCTGCCTCAATAAGCAACTGTGTGTGTTTCAGCGGTTGCGTTTTCTAGGCCTTCAGCAGGTCTGGAAATACCACAAGCAAATAGAGAGAGTGCTTCCAGCTCAGGTTCAGAGATGCGTCTTAGTCTGGGGAGGAAAAACAGTATCTGCCTTTTCTCCTCTAGCTTCACTGTGAGCTCAAGGCAAAGAAAGTATTTGCAGGTTTATAAACCTGCTCCTCTCCTCACGCCTGTGGCTCCCTGAAAGACAGGAGAGAAGCGCTAACAATTAATTCTTGCTCTCTCAAACAGGATCACTGTTTCTCTCCCAGGATTCTGAATACGCAGGTTATTTGCATGTGTGAAGAAATCTAGATTATGAAATCTAAACAGAAGCATGGACTGTGATTAATGTATAGAAGGAAATTAAATTGCAAATAAGCCTGAAAACTTATCTGTCCATTGAGCAACCAGATTAGTAAGGGTTAATAAACGCCAAAGATTAGACTTGCAAATTCAGTCTCTATATAACCAACCAGTTTTTCCAGGAAAAGAAAAGAAGTTGTTGTGAAGGTGGCTTGCAAAATATGTCTAAATCTAATAAATATGCATGGCTACAGTGGTACTGACCGTAAAAGGATATGAGGTGACAGAAGGAAATCCAGGATCAAGTTTAAAAAGAAAAAAAATTTAACATCTAATTTAAACTAGGCTGGATGCCAGTTCTCCCCAAGACTGAAGCCTGACTCCTTATTCCCTATGACATGGTTTCCACTGAAATCTTCCCAATTTTTTTGTTCCATTTCTCCTGTAATAGAAATCCTGACTTCTGTACTTTGCCTGCTTAGTTTTAATGTTCATGAATACTGTCACCCTTCAAAAGGATTTTAGCAAAGGCAAATAGGAACCAGGGCTCGGTAGCTGATAAATCTCAGCCTGCAGTACCGCAATATTTGATAATCCCTGTAGCCTAAAACCCTAGTTTATCTGCAGTCCTTCATGTTCTGTCCAACTGATGTGCTGGCACAAAACTTTTATCTTTCATGAAAACTGCTGAATGGAAAGGCACCTTCCTACCTGTCCAAGTAGAATATATCATTATACAAAAGCAGCTGACCCCTTTCTTGTCTCTCAACCCCAGCTGCTTTTCTGGCCAAACTTGAGAACTGAAGCACATGCAGGTGCTGATCAAAGTACTCAAAAGCAGACCAGATGTTTAACATAGGCACTCCTCTCCAACATTCCCAGAACCCAAACATAGCTACATAGGGAGAAGTGGAATTTTCAATACATGTTGTACTTGAGCACAAATGAGTTACGTTCTCCCTGTGCATTTTGGGAGGACTTCATTGTTCTGCATCATGTGGCTTCTAACTTTAATACAGATTACCATTGACTAATTTAAATAATCTGTTCCTTGATGCCTAGAGCAGTGAAGTTCCATCAACCCCATGCGACATGAACAAAAATTAGATAGTTACAAAAAAGCTCCTGAGAAGATCACTGTAAACCATCTCTCCTGACAGCATATTGACAA